TATATCCTTTGTTCGACACTTGAGTCACTTTTGACTACACCTTCGAGGCTCACAATTTTTTTGTTTGACACTTGAGGATTCTATTGACATGGCTAAGTTAAAGGCATTACTCTTGATACCATGTTAGGAATCACGAATCTCCACAGTAGTATGATAGTAGTATATGATATTGTCTACTTTGAGCATAAGCTCTCATGGCTTTGTTTTGGGTTTCCCCAAAAGGCCTCGTACCAATGGAGATGTATTTCATACTTATAAACCCATGATCATTCCCTGAATGAGCCAATGAAGGACTCCCTCCCAACAATTCTCAACAAAGCAGTCCATGAGTTCGAGTTAGACAAATTTTGCCAATTTCGGTTTGGTTTTAAGTCCATTTCGTCGGTTTCGATCGTTTAACGTATTATTCAAATTGCTTATCCTCTCCTATGCTGTTCTTACAGGTGAAGGAGAAAACAATAGCTGCAAGAAGAAGTGGGGTAAAGACAATAATATTCCCTTCAGCAAACAGGAGGGACTTCGATGAGCTTGCTTCAAATGTGAAAGAAGGTCTTGAAGTTCATTTTGTGGATGAGTACAGCCAGATATTCAACCTGGCATTTGAGGAAAAATAAAATTTTCATATTTGAAGAATACATACTTTAGAGTTAGTATCCATCTCGGTTTCTTCATTACTTTATTTATGATGAGAACTACTGAAAAAGTGTATTATTTAAATGTCTCCATTGATGAAGGGAGGCTTTAATTATTAATATCATCATTTTTTTAGACCTGTTTCTCTCTTTTCAGTGTGTAATAAGAAGCTTCTTTGGACTGTTCATGTCCCAACTGTTGATGAATGATAATTCTACATCGGTTGGGTTGTCCAACTTAATTGTTGTGTGCTAAATATTTTTAAAAGTATATTGTAGGTTAGGTTATATTAATTTCATGTTCGATAGAATTTTTTATATTCACGGGACACAATCAAATCAAAAGTTTAAAGACACTTTCTTAAAAAAAAAAAAAAAAACTGGAAGTATAAATATCTATTAGATATTTTTTTAAAATTCATGAACTAGATAGATACAAAATTGAATATGAGATCCTACTTTGGTTAGGGAGAGGAATAAACCGACGAAATGGGGAGAGAGAGAAGCTAAGGAAGGATAGTTTCCTTAGGACGTGAAAACCTTCTCTCCCTAACATACGCGTTTAAAACCTTGCATAAGGTGCATCTTAAAACCTTGAGAGAAAGCCCAAGATGGAAAGTTTCCTTACAAGGGTATGAAATCGTCTCTCTAGTAGAGGCGTTTTAAAACCTTGAGAAAAAGCTTCCTTACAAGGGGAGTATGAAATTCTCCCTCTAGTAGAGGCGTTTTAAAACCTTGAGAGAGTTTTCTCACAAAGGTATGGAAAGCTCTCCCTATCCATTTTAAAACTTTGAAGTAAGCTACGGAAGAAAAACTCAAAGAAGACAAGTTAGCGTAAGTACATAATTAAACCATAAAACTTTGAGGTAAGTTGCGGAAGAAAAACTCAAAGAAGACAAGTTAGCGTAAGTACACAATTAAACCATAAAACTTTGAGGTAAGCTGCGGACGAAAAACTCAAAGAAGACAAGTCAGCGTTAAGTACATAATTAAACAAAAAAATTCCAAGGATCTGTCATAACGGCATTCGATGTAGAGCTTGCACAAGGCCCTGACTCCAAATAAAATTTGCCTCTTGGCTCTAGACCTATAAACCAACCAGTCTGCCTTTGAACCACCACTGAAATCTGGTTTAAATTAAAGTTGGAACACTCAAATCTAATTCAAATCAGAGCAACACGCAACACTGCCAACAGAACAGGAAAAAAGAACAGATTCTTGAAAACTTAATCAGTGATGTAATCTACTGAATACTGCACAAAAACGCCAATCAATATTTGTATTGTTTTTCATAGCATTGACATGGATTGATTAGGCTACAAAAGCTAGTTTTTTAACCACTAACTGTCCTATTTCCTAACCAGAGCATTAAAGATCATGGAAGTGTTCATATACATCCACACAAACATAATTTTGGACTCCCATCAATTGCGTGTGCAGCGTGCATAGTGTCGGATTTCATTTGTGTTTGACAGGCCATACTCAGCAGATTAAGTACGAAAAACTCGAACTAATGATCACAGACCTGCAAGACCTGCCATCCTAGCATGGTTCATGACTTGTTTTTGTCTTCAAACTCAACTAAGGTGACCTACTATGTTCCTCAGTTGCAGCTAGATTTTCTCCAGCTCCATCTACGACATTGTTTTCGTCTTTGCCATTCATGTCAATGAAACTCCTTTTCCTAAGAGGTTGTGATTTCTCCTTGTGATAATCATCTTCAGGTTCTTTTTCCTTCCCTTTATCGTTCTCAGTTTCTTTGACCGATGGGATATCCCCGTTTTCAGGAGGAAACAATGGAGGTTCCTTGCCACTCAATCGACAAAATACTTTTTCGACTGTGTCATTTATTTCTTTGCCCAATCCACTGTTGTCCAGGATCAATTCCCAAACAGATTTAGAGGCTTTCTCAAGCACGGGTGCTCTGCATAACATCCAAGAGTGGTAAAATTATCAGAAACCTAAACATGTATGAAGACTTTTGTTCGCTTAGATGCACAATTTAGTAAGGAAAAAGAGAAAATGGGGAGAGAGAGAAATAGAGGAATTCTCTTAAACAGACAATCATCATGAACATTCCAGACGTGGTACGACATTCTGAAACCGTCAACACATACGAGGATACATAATCTGCTTTTTTTAAAGCTTGTGGATGTTGTATTCTCTTCAATTATTTTGCAAGAATTTATTGTTAACAAAGTTTTTGTTCCTGATGGAAACAAACAACTCTCTTCGGGACTCATGCTTATTCAAATATTTTATTTGTAGTAACTTGAATATGCTTCAACCACAGACCTCACAAGATGGAAAACTAAAAACCAAGTGTGCAATCCTTTCAACAAATTTAAATTACATGCTGTGATGAAGTTTTAAGTGCCTGCTCGTGTTCAGTTCATCTCACGAAAACGTGTATAAAGAAGAGAGGAGACATTTAAACAATAAAGTAGAGATAATACTGACTCGAGCTCCTGTCGAAGAGCATCAAATAACTCTCTTTTGGTCTGTTTCTCTGCCCCAGGGGTGTTGAGGACTTTGCTCTGTTCTACCATTTTAATGGTGGTATTCTTAAGCTCCTCCTACAACAAGGAAAATACACATTAGAGAGACTCGCCAAATGCGCAGCCCGAAAACAACGGCTCAAAGACCATTCCATCACATTATGAAATCCAAATTCAAACAACTGCTAGATAAACTAATAGAACAAAAGAAATCTCAAGAAAACATACAATTTTTCTTACAAACAGAAAAGCCATGAATTCACAATATAAGTGTGTAGATTCTATCAGCTATTGACACCCCAATGAGATAATGTATAACTTTACTTCCTAAGAACACTAGAGAGAATGATTCAGTTGACATAGCTCCAAGTTCCTCAATAACTTAAACCAATGTTTGGTATGTGAGTTACCAAGATTACAAGTTTGTTAATGCGACCAACTATCTAGGCCTTCTCCATCAGTTTCTACAACTTATTTCACCCAAACTTGATAATCTTAGGCTTATCAAAATCTCAAAACAAGCATCCCAAATGTGTTTAATTGTGAGCTAAAGATTACATAGTTGAATCAGTTCAATGATGTCAATTTGAAACCCAAAGAAATTAAAACATAATTATGGAGGAAGCGAGACTGACATTGGCTTTGAGCTGGTTGATGATCTTCAACCTAAGAGAATCGATAGTACCATCATTCATCAGCGACTCCAACACATCTTCTGGAGTTATAACTGAAGACGAACTCATGAATCTCCTCGATTCCGCTGTCTCCCTTTCTCTTAAATATTTTCTCCTCACTTCAAAATCGCAACAACCTACGAACAAAACAGCAAAAATTCAGAACAAACCAAATTCTTCACGACTGCAAATTTTATGCTAAGATGTTTTCTACACAGAAAAAAGCAGATATAATCAAGAATCCACGCGATTTCAAATGCTTCGAAAACGCAAGATTTTCTCCGCGGAAACGAACTTTTCGATTGAAACAAACACAGAAGATAAGAGATGAGACCAAATCTCAAAGAAATACTATAAACAATTGAAGTAAAATAGGTAATTTTGAATGTGATTTCAAGAATCATAGAAATCCTTCCACCTGCTCGTTGATTAAATTCTGAGGGCTACCGCCAGAGAATAATTTCGACGAGTGTTTCTATCTTCCACAAAAGGTTCTTCGAAGATTTGTTCATATACTCCGCGCGTGGGGGTGGCAAAATTATTTTATTTGTTTACCAGTTCAATTTTTTTTATTAAAAAAAATATATAATTGTTTTTATTATAATTTCTGTAAATATTAAAACATTTTAATTATTAACCCAATTATAAAAATAAAAAAATTAAAATTATAAATTATAAAAATAAAAGCAATATTTTAAAAAAATATAACCCATGATTAATAAACATTACTTTTTACTTGTGATATTATTTTTTTATTATCTATTTTTTATAAATATTTTTAAAATTTAAGCTAATTATTTAAAATCAAAGAGAAAATTTGATAAATTTTTTAAATATTTTTTATTTATAAATTTGATCAATTAAAATAAAAGAAATGCTAATTTGAACATATATTAATTATTAAAAAAATAAAAAAAAAACTTAAAAATTTAGAAAAAAAATAGTATTTAGTCCTTAAATTTTTAAAATTGTTTAATAAATTTTTAAAATTTTAATTTGGTGTATAATAAATATTTGACAAATTAAAATTTTTAATTTAGTGTAAAATAAGTTAGATTAAATTTAAAAAATAAAAACTAAAAGACTTAATTTTATAATTTTTAAAAATTTAGGATAAAATAAATATAAATTTAAGAAGCTTTTATAATTGAATTTTGGGACTAAAATAGCTTTTAATTACAAAAATGGCCCTCGTCGTTACACTTCAGCCTCTCTTCTCAATTCCCCACAAATCCTTCGCCAAATTCCCAAAACCCTTCCGCTTCCATAGATTCAGGCCAGTCACCAATAGCATGGCGGACTCATCAAAGCCGGTGACCGGAGAGAATTACCCGGTACCACTCTCGCCTCCATTGCCGGCGATTTCCAAGAACTTGGAGCTCGCTAGAGCCATGGCTGCCTGCTCTAAATCCAGCCTATTTTCTTTGTCAGCTTGCGATGTTATATACGAGGATGAGTGGCTCATTGCTGTCAATAAGACTCAAGGGGTATACTGTGAAAGCGTTTTGGGCTCTGTTCCTCGTTTTCTCGGCGATTCGGCTATGGCTGGTGCGCAGAGTGGAGGTACTAGAATTCTCTGCCTATGTTAACTCTTTGCTAGAATTTTTTTGAGACAGATTTAGATTTTAACATGAGCTTGGCAAGTTGAATTCAATTTTACTCAAATTTTCGTATTTGATAATCGATTGGAATGGTGTAAGTGCAACTTTTGATTTGCTTTCGTTTGAAGAATTGTAAAATGATATTAGAATGTGCTTTCAATGGATTTTCAAATATGGACGAAGCTGCAAAGAATGAAGATATAAGTGTTGAATTGTTCTTAAAGATAGTTTTGAAAGATTTATTCCATACAGATCTCGGGCATTGATTTCTTTAAACTTTTGTGCATTAATATTGTTGAAATTGGGTGAAATTAATAGATAAATGTAATGGAAGTCTAACAAATTGTATCAATGAACTGTTTTCTGGAATTTGTATTCATTGTTTTAAGCTGTTTAAGAACGAAATCTCTGAAATTCTCATCCCTTTTGTATTTTTCATGAAAAGTTGTCGTCTAATGGTTTTTAAGGAGAGAGAGAAAATGTAACGACTCAAGCCCGCTAAAAGATATGGCCGTCTTTGGGCTTCCCTTCAAGGGTTTTAAAACGCGTATGCTAGGGAGAGGTTTCTACACCTTATAAGGGTGTTTCGTTCTCCTCCCCAACTGATATGGGATCTCACAATCCACCCCTCTTCAGGCCCTAGCGTCTTCTCTGGCACTCGTTTTCTTCTCCAATCGATGTGGGACCCCCCAAATCCACCCCCTTTAGGTCTAGCATCCTTGCTAGCACACCGCCTCGTGTCCACCTCCCTTCGGTGACTCAACTTTCTCGTTGGCACATCGTCCGGTGCTGCCTCTAATACTATTTGTAACTGCCCAAGCCCACAACTAGCATATATTATCCTCTTTGAGCTTTCCCTCAAAGTTTTTAAAACGCGTCTGATAGGGAGAGGGTTTCACACCCTTGTAAAAGGTGTTTCGTTCTCCTCCTTAACCAACGTGGGATCTCACATAAAAACCTAAAACAAACCTATGTTTTTTCAACTAAATTGTCAAATAAGCCTTTAGTTTATCTCATCAAATTATGTCAGTAAAGTTGTCTGGGAGTTTGATATGTGTACATTTACTTAAGATTTGTGTAATTGTTTGGTGCTTCTTTCCCTACATTGCCAAAAATAGCAATGTTTCTGATCATTAGACAGTCGATATAAATGGTTTAGCTATATCCTGGTTGTTGAAGAGAGATCTGCTTGAATGTATCTGAAGTATTAAACTTTTGTCTAAAATGATATCATGTAATCTTTCGATTATTCTATCACTTTCGATTTATCGGATTGTCCTCTGCCCGGATTCTTTATATGCAGAGATCAAAATCAGTCTGCCAGAGCTTCATCTTGCCAATCGTCTCGATCGTGACACAAGCGGAGTGATGGTTATAACGAAGTCGCATAAAGTTGCTTCTAAATTAGTGAAGGCATTTACTGACCACAAGGTTTCAAAATCATATATTGCCTTCTGCGTTGGTTCGGCTCCAAAATGGAAAAAAATCATTGTCAAATCTGGTCATGGAAGGTCAAAGTTCGGAGTCTGGCGTGTCTATGCTGCAGCTGATGTGGGTCGCTCCTTACCGGGCGGTTCGGTAGTCCGAGACATGGAAACCTCTTTTGAAGTATTGTCTGTAAATGGGCAAAGCACCAAAGAGGAACTTCCAGAATCTAGAAAAGATGAAGAAGAAGAAGAAGAAACAATTGTAGCCCAATCAAAATCTCTGATAGATATCGATGCTCGGAAGGACGAGATATTGATTCGAGCACGACCTCGGAGTGGAAGGACTCATCAAATCCGTCTTCACTCCCAATATCTTGGAATTCCTATTGTAGGAGATGTGAAATATGAAGGTGTTACGGAGTGGAATGGAAAAATTTATGATAGCCATGAGCTTCATGCTGAAAGCTTGTATTTTGTGCACCCTATTACAGGCATTCCTCTCAAACTGCAAGCTCCTCTGCCATCATGGGCCACCCAAGCATTGCAGCCCCAACAGCAAGAAATGAATTCTGCAGCATCCTTGAAACCTATGCCTTAACATTATCACTGGCACTGTTATACGATGAGTCTCAGTGTCGAAGAATGTCGGGAAGCGGTTAGTATTCAATCTAATTCGTACAAGTTGAACTACAGAGTTTTCGTATCACTGACTTCCTGTCTGCATTTTCCTCGACAGGTGCTCGTTGAATCAGACGTTAGATGAGCTCTTGAGAGCACAACAGTCTCCTCTAGAATATCAGCAAAGTCGGGAACGAACAACTTGCTGAGTTTCTTCTCAAAAATCGAAAGGATGGGATGCTCGTAGCCGATTCTGGACATGAAAGAAGAAGCATGGCATGTCTAAGGCGGTCGAGGTTCTTCAAAGCACCCTCGGAAACTTTCCCCTTCCCTATATTTGTGCAATTATATGATAAATCGTTTAGAAATCGAATGTCTTTATAAAAATATAGATTGAATTGTTATATAATAGAATCGTATCGATATTTCACCTCGATGATTGTCCTTCCATCACAACCAGAAGTTGCAATAGATTTGAATAACTGTGTACAAGTGGACAATAAATTAGACATGAATGAACCTTAAATGCTAAGGAAAGGAAGTTGTTGAAGGAAGTCATTGAACCTTCAGTTTTTTTTAGTTTTTATGCTTTCATTAAATAATATTTTTGAAATTCAACTTGATCTGGTTTTGAAAGTTGCAAAAGTTTGACTTTTCGCCATTCATTGTCGATCTTGTCTAGAGATGTCTAATTTACTCTATGGAGCCAAGACTCGTGGAGATCCACCTCGAATGAAGTGAGAATTCCCGATTAAATGGTTGTCTATTTGCCATACGGAGTCGAGACTCATGGAGACCCACCTCGAATGAAGTGAGATTTCCGATTAAATGGATGTCTATTTGCCCCACTATGTCAAGATTCGCCTAATTAAATGGATGCCTATTTTCCCTACGAAGTCGATACTCATGGAGACCCACCTCGAATGAAGTGGTTTCCTCGATTAAATGGATGTCTATTTACTCCACTGAGTTGAGACTCATGGAGACTCACCTAATGAAGTGGGAATCCCCTATTAAATGGATGCTTATTTTCCATACAAAGTCGATACTCATGAAGACCCACCCCGTATGAAGTGAGAATCTCCGTTTAAATGAAGAATGAAGGAGAAAGTGGGGAGAGATTTCTCTCTGTTAGATAAACAGAGTCAGGGATAGAGATTGTATTCCCACCCCACACCGTCCTCCCTTCTTTCTAATACATATTATAACAAATCAATTCTATTTTCTTCGTCTTATAATTACATTTTCATGACTTTCCCGTCTCACCCCGTTCCACCAAGCCCAAAGTCGAAAAACCAAGAGTTAAAAGGATTTCTTATAAATATTATTACTTAAATATTACAATATTTAAGGCTCCAACACTACAATTATAATATTTAAGGTAAAACTAAGTTTAAACATTTTTTTTGTACGTGGAAGACGTCGTTATGATGGGGACGAGGAAGGTTTTCCTGTCCCGCATCCCGTCCTGTCCCGTGAACATCTCTTTCCATCCAATTTCTAGCCATCTCTAACGTCATAGATACAAATCTAGAAACCCATCAAAACAAAGCTTTGCAACGAAGCAACCATGTTAACTCCGTTTGAATTCCAACCTTTTTTTTCTAAGTCAATACAATAAGGTTAGCGCAACAAGTAACCAAACCAAACCGCCTCTTCCATAGATATAATTCCAGTCAAACCATTAATATTACTTAAGAGTTACATTCCACAGAAGCCGATCAACCAAAGTGTTGTGCACATCAAAGCCCGAATTGGCTATTGTTCTGAAAATGGGTGGCTTGAGTGAGGGTCTAATACAGCTGTTGATACCTGCAGCTGCCTTGCTTGGTATTGGATTTGCCTTTCTTCAATGGGTTTTGGTATCAAGGGTTAAGGTTTCTGGGTATGCTGATGATGAAAGCCAGGAGAACAATTTGATTGAAACTGGACATGAGGAAGGTTTCGAGGATTTTGAGGTTGTCGCCAAGTGCGCTGAAATCCAGAAGGCTATTTCTGTTGGTAAGTCTCTTTGCTTTTCTTTCAATTTTTAAAAGTTTTGTTCATATCTCATTTTGTGGAAGTCGTACTTTCGTTTGGACATCGAGTGTGATGCACGAGTAAATGAGGGAGACGTGAATGAACCGAGACTACATTTCAATGAGAGCGATCCTAAGGATAGGATTACTACCTATTGTAACGACCCAGGCCCACCACTAGCAGATATTGTCGTCTTTAGGCTTTCCACAACCTTATAAAGGGTATTTCGTTCTTCTCTCCAACCAAATGTGGGATATCACAATCCACTCCCTTCAATCGACGTGGGATCACCACCAAATCTACCCTTCTTTGGGGCCAGCGTCTTTACTGGCACACCGCTTCGTGTCTACCACCTTTGAGGAACAGCCTCCTTGCTGACACATCGTCCGGTGTCTGGATCTGATACCAACCGTAACGACCTAGGTCTACCGTTAGCAAATATTGTCCTCTTTGGGCTTTCCCTTTCGAGCTTCTCCTCAAGGCTTTAAAACGTGTCTGATAGGGAAAGGTTTTCACACCCTTATAAACCCCCCTTCAGGGCCCAGTGATGTGGGATCACCACCCAATCCACCCCCTTTCGAGGAACAACGTCCTTTTTGGCACACCGCCTCGTGTCTACCACCTTCGGGGAACAGCCTCCTCATTGGCATATCGTCCGGTGTCTGGCTCTAATACTAACTGTAACGACCCAGGCTCACCGCTAGCAGATATTGTCCTCTTTGGGCTTTCCTTTTCAGCCTTCCCCTCAAGGCTTTAAAACGCGTCTGCTAGGAAAAAAATTTCACATCCTTGTGAAGGGTATTTCGTTCTCCTCTCCAAACAAATGTGGGATATCACACTTATACCAACAAGGTGCACCATCCCTTTCGGTGGCTTAATCATAGGAACTCAATAGTTAAGCGTGTTTTGCTTGGAGCAGGGGAACTCCTAAAAATTTTCTTGGGATGCATGTGAGTGAGGATAAAATATGTCGAAAGGACTCATATTGGTCTATGGGGATAGTGTTGGTCTGTAGGGATAACCTTCACTCTTAGAACCAATGAGTAAGTAACCTGACCATGTTGCAGTGGAATATCAGGGCCATTAGGTACCGAATCCTGGGCATAGATCGTTACATCAACTGTCATTAAAAATTCCAACTCTTGCTATACATAGCTAAAGTCATCGATATAAACCTTTAGCCAATATTTTTCATTGCATTTTCTCTCTCCTGTTCTTTGTGTTCATCTAGATCCAGTATGTGCGTTGTCATGCGATCCTAACACGGCACTGTTATGGTGATAGTTATTTTTTAAGAATCTAGGACGGGGACACGACAAGGAATGAGTTTGATGTCTTTCATGTTGATATGAATTATTTGTTCATTGCTTTCAGGAGCAACCTCATTTTTATTCACCCAGTACAAGTACCTTGTTGTCTTCATGGGAGCATTTGGAGCCATTATTTTTCTGTTCCTTGGCTCAGTCAAGAGCTTCAGCACCAAAAGTGAACCTTGCACATACAACAAGGGACAGATGTGTAAACCAGCTCTAGCCAATGCCATCTTCAGCACAATTGCCTTCTTCCTAGGCGCTCTCACCTCAGTTCTATCCGGTTTCCTTGGAATGAAGATAGCAACTTATGCAAACGCTCGAACGAGCCTAGAAGCACGAAAAGGCATTGGAAAAGCATTCACTATCGCCTTTCGTTCGGGTGCTGTCATGGGATTCCTTCTAGCTGCCAATGGCCTCCTTGTGTTATATGCCTCCATCAATTTGTTTAAGCTGTATTATGGCGATGATTGGGAAGGATTATACGAGTCTATCACCGGGTACGGTCTTGGAGGTTCTTCAATGGCGTTGTTTGGACGAGTTGGGGGTGGCATATACACAAAAGCAGCTGATGTTGGAGCTGATCTTGTCGGGAAAATCGAAAAGAATATCCCGGAAGACGATCCACGAAATCCTGCTGTAATGTCTATATATTCTTCCTACCACTATATTTTCTATAGTACTCTTTGAGCACTGTGTGTTAGGAATCACGACCCTCTATAATGGTATGATATTGTCTACTTTGAGTATAAGCTCTCGTGGCTTTGCTTTTGTGGGACTCCTCTCCCAACAATCCTCCCCTTGAACAAAGTACACTATAGAGTCTCTCCTGAGGCCTATGGAGCATTTGAACAGTCTCCCCTTAATCAAGGCTCGACTCCTTCTCTAGAGTCCTCGAACAAAATACACCCTCTTTTCGACACTTGAGTCACTTTTGCCTACACCTTCGAGGCTCACAACGTCTTTGTTCAACATTTGAGGATTCTATTGACATGGCTCTGATACCATGTTAGGAATCACGACCTTCCACAATGGTATGATATTATCCACTTTGAGTATAAGCTCTCGTGGCTTTGCTTTAGGCTTCCCCAAAAGGCCTTAAACCAATAGAGATGTATTTCTTACTTATAAACCCATGATCATTCCCTAAATCAGCCAATGTGGGACTCTCTCCCAACATCCTCCCCTCGAACAAAGTACACTATAGAGCTTCGCCTGAGGCCTATAGAGCCCTCGAACAGCCTCCCCTTAAATAAGGTTCGACTCCTGCTCTGGAGCCCTCGAACAAAGTACACCCTTTGTTCGATACTTGAGTCACTTTTGACTACACCTTCGAGGCTCACAACGTCTTTTTTCGACATTTGAGAATTCTATTGACATGATTAAGTTAAGAGCATGACTTTAATACCATGTTAGGAATCACGACCCTCCACAATGGTATGATATTGTCCACTTTGAGCATAGGCTCTCATGGCTTTGCTTTTGGGCTTCCCGAAAAGATCTCATACCAATGGAGATGTACTCCTTACTTATAAACCCATGATCATTCCCTAAATAGCCAATGTGGGACTCCCTCTCAACAATCCTCAACACCGTAATCATTCACTCCTATTTATTTTCCAGGTTATAGCTGACAATGTGGGTGACAATGTAGGAGATATAGCAGGAATGGGATCTGATTTATTTGGATCATATGCAGAATCAACCTGTGCTGCACTTTTCGTGGCATCGATATCGTCGTTCGGCTTCACACATAACTATGCAGCCATGTCCTACCCTCTACTTATAAGCTCAATGGGCATTGTGATTTGCTTAATAACTACACTTTTTGCAACCGATCTCGTTGAGGTTAAGAAAGTAAGTGAAATCGAACCGTCGTTAAAGCGACAACTTCTCATCTCCACCGTGCTAATGACAGCCGGAGCAGCTCTGGTCAGCTTTGTCGCTTTACCTTCGAGATTCAAGCTCTATGATTTTGGCAACGACAAGGTCGTTAAGAACTGGTATGACATTGTCGATCACGAGAGTTTGTTTTGTCCCATGAATATTAGTCTTTATGCTGACTATAGTTACATCCAAATACAGGCACCTTTTCTTCTGTGTTGTG